CACTAAGCACAATTAAGGATGAGATTAAAAATTAATATTGTATAAATTAATATTGTCAATTCCAACAAATGAGAGAGGGCTACTGTCACCTTCTGTCCACTGACTGTGGTCAGTGGTGTATTATGTCCATTTGGATCTTTGTGACAAGACTTTTTCAGCTTTGATGTCCCTAAAACCAAACATCAAAATAAACAACTTAGAACAAACAAGACCTTCAAAGTGCAATTTTAAAATGTGTTAAACTGTTTTCTGCTATAATAAAGAAAGTATATTCCATCATTTTATTCTTATTAATAATATTCTACTGAGAGGTAAGTGGGGTTTTTTTCCTCCATTAATGAATAGAATGCTTTTTAAAATATTTTTAATTTTTTTTTTATCTTTTTATGCACAGTCACAAGTTTGTAGATCCCCAGTCTCTCTAACATCCAGTCCTGAATTTGCATATCATTGTTTCTTGCTGTAGAGTTTAGCTGGATATTAGATCCCCAAGTGACCTCACCCAGTGCTAAGGCTTTGAATGCCATCCGGCTACCACTGATCCCAGAGTAACCCAAAACGTTTTCCTCATCCAGATTCATACATACAACTGTTTACTTGAGAAAATTAACTGATGGTCCAATAGGCCTTTCAAATTAACACGTCCAGAAGAGAACTGGTGATTTCTACCTGCAACTGTTTCACTTCTACACTCTCTTCTCCCAGTTAACTGTACCATCCCCATCCGCTGCCACCATTCACCAGCCCAATCATTCAAAATCCTAGGGTCTTCTCCTTCCTTCACCTTCCATATCCAGTCCATCAGCAAGTTCTCTTGGTTCCACTCTCAAAATAAATTTCAAACCTGCTCCCGCCAACCTCACTGCTGGCACCCTGCTCTCAGCCACCATCTTCTCCCACCTGGACTAGGGTGGCACCTCCAAAGGCTCCTCACTATTGACCTGATAGCATCCCCACTCACCCCTCCTTTCAAGGCACATCTGTCCACAGAGCCCCGTGTTGCAAAAGCCCCTAAAGACAGAGGAACACTAGTCTCCGAAAAAGAATACTGATGCCATGCTCAAGTTTCTTGCTGTTTCCACTTATTTGTTTTACATGATAGGTGTATGAAAGAATATTTGTAATTTCAAAGTACTGAAGAGCTGAGAGAGTAAGTCTATCTACCCACTGGCTACTTTCTCTCTCTCTCTCTCTCTCTCTCTCTCTCTCTCTCTCTCTCTCTCTCTTTCTCTTTCTCTTTCTCCATCCTGCATGCTTAATATTAGAAATATTTAAAATGTTGAATCTCATACTGATAAAGAAGGCTATTATCCAAAAAACAAAAAATAAGAGGTCTTGGGGAGAATGTGGAGAAACTGGAACCTTGCGCATTGCTAGTTGGAATGTGAAACGTGCAGCCTCCATGCAAGACAGTATGTATGGTGGTTCCTCAAAAAATTAAATATAGACTTGCCATATAAGCCAGCAATTTCACTTCTAGGTATATACCCAGGATAGCTGAAAGTAAGAACTTAGGCAGGTATTTGTACAATAATGTTCAAAGAAGCATTATTCACAATAGCCAAAAGGTGGAAATAACTTAAATGTTCACTGGTAGATGAATGAATAAACCAAATGTGGTATAAACATGCAGTGGAGAGTATTCAACTTTAAAAAGAATAAAATTCTGATACATGCTATAACGTGAATGAACCTTGAAAACATGACTGTAAGTGAAATAAGCCAGACACAAAAGCACAAATATTATACAATTTTGCTTATGAGATGTCTAGAATAGTCAGATTCATACTGAAAAAAAGTAAAATAATGCTTGGCAGGGGCTGGAGGGAGATGGGAATAGGGAGCTCTTATTTAATGGGTACAGAGCTTCTGTTTGGGTGTTGGAAAATTCTGGAGATGGACGGTGGTCATGGTTGCACAACAATGTGAAAGTACTTACTGCCACTGAGTTGTACGCTCAAAAAGTATTAAATGGTAAATTTAATGTTTTGTATATATTCCTAGAATTTTAAAATGTTGAATCTGTGCTCTTTATTTCCACAATATCCTCTTGCCTGTTCTCCACATGGCAGACAATTTTAAAATATAAAGTAGGTCATGTCTCTTTCCTGTTGAAAGCTATCCAGGGACTTTCCATTATATTTAAAATGAAATCTCCCCTTCTTTTCACGGCCTCTGGCCCCAGAGGTCTTGGTTCTCTGATCCTACCCTTTCCCTCTCGCTTCTCCTCAGTGGCCTTGCTGCTCCCTAAGTGTGCAAAGCTCAGTCCTGCTGAGGTCTTTACACCTCCTTTCCTCTGCTGGAAATAGTCTGGGCCCCAGAGTGTCACAGGACTTGCCCTGTCCGTCAATCAAGTCTTTACTCAAATGTCACCTTCTCAGAGAGGACTTCCCTGACCTCCAACATAAGCTAACACCTCCTCCAGCCCTACCCGATTATTTCATATCCTCTCACTCTGCTTTAATTTCTTCAAGGCAATTGTCATTATCTGGAATTATGTTATTTATCAGTTTATCTTTTTATTATCTAAATTCCTCCACTAGATTGAGGGTAGAGACATTTTAGCACCACATCTTCAGCCCCGAAAACAGTACCAGGCATGTCAAAGGCATTTTCTAAATATCATGTGAATGAATTCGTTCTGATAGTAGATATTCTGCTTTTCTGAAACAGACTCCATTTAAAGCCAATGAAATCTGTGTTTATTGAAGCTTACTTGAAGCAAATCAGCTTGTATGATGGACATGGAGATGCGCATCCCAGAAACACCTCAAAAAGGGCTTGTGGCCCCACCTGCTGGGGAGTGGTGCTGGGGAGTGGGAGGGCCTTTTGCTGTATGTTGCTTCTGGGATTTCTGCAGTTGTTGGGGGCTACCTGATCAAAAGTGAAGTCCTTCCTGGGGAGCTCACACCAGTGAATGACAGAGGCAGGAAATATATGAACAAAGCGATTTCACCCCAATGCACCCAACTCTCAAGGGCCATGTTAGCTTCAGTGCTAGCTGGGGGGTCAGCAGAGGTTATCCTCAGGCCTGCCTCACAGCCCCGCCTGTCCCTGGGCCCCCACCTTCCTCTCCTCGTTTCTACAGGTGTTGGTCCCAAAATACTCCCTGTGAGCAGCCTGCACACTGAACTCCATCTCAGCCTCCACTTCCCTGGTAACCCAACCCGGAACACTTTGTATGCATGAGATGACTATGAAAAGACCACATTCTGAGTTTGTCCCCTTTAGTCATGAATATATATAGGGTGGATCAACTTTAGCAAAAGCCTGAAACCATCAGACACTTCACAGCAACACAGGTGGGGCTGGAGAAAGCTTCAATGGTGTCAGAATTTTTTCCCACCCAATAAGAGTTGTCCATAATCTTTGAGGTCTAGGGTTGTTATGTTCATTTAATCAACTTAATGTATTTATGTTACTCCTATGTTGCCCACCACCTGATTTGTGAGCAGGGACTAAGCAAGGCAAGGGATTTACCCTTAGAAGTGGCAGATGCCTCATGGCACCATGAGGTGAAAGGTGCATAAAGAAAGACATCTGACTGGTGTGGTGCAGAATGCAGGGGACATGACTTGGACAGTTTGTGAAGGGCAGGGTCCAAGGCTTTGACCAGCTCAAAGATGAGTTTCAGGGGACCCAGGGCTTTCCTAAAAGTATAAGAAAAATGTTGTGCAGATGCATGCCTTGCCAGGTGTCCAGATTCTCAAAGGGACTAATGCTTAGAAAAAAGTTAAGAGGACTGTGATGGTTACTGTTTCAACTTTTTTTTTTAATTTGGAAAACTATTTCCTAGGGTACTACCAACTTTTCTTCTTGGAGATGACATTTGTAGTCTACATTTGTAATGATGTTTAATTGATTTGTTCCCTTTGATAATTTATCTAATAACTTTATAGTTATTTCCATGCCATATACACATACTATTGATTTAAAGGAGCATATTTTTTGTGAATTGTATGCTGTATTACCTTCAATATTCATACTAGTTAGGCTTTGTTAATAGGGGCTTGGTTTGGTGGTTAAACAGATATGTGTTGTCTTACTCTCTTATTCTGAACTATTTCATCTACATATTTAACTACTGATTGCAGAGTTTCTCCAAACAAAATACCTTTTGTGTTTTAACAATTTATTTGATATAAGTATATCAAAGGAAACATAAATCACAGAATAGAGATTTATAACAACTAAGATAAATTAGGGTGTAATTCTTCAATTTACATGAGAATCAATAATGGCATCCTATTAAGTAGCAGATTCTCTTATTTGTGTGTGACATAAAAAGATACATCAAATCTTAGGCAATTACAGTAAACACTCCCACCTTTTCTTAGGTGGAAGAATCCTTTGTGTGTATCTCTTGACCATGGAGTTTTGTGGTGATGAGCAGGTTCAAGAGCAGAGATAAAAAAGTGGGAAATGGAAAGAGGACTATAGACATAAAAGATCAGCAAGGAGCAGTTTGAGGTAGCTTCAAAGAGAAAAGTTTTCAGAGAGACAGAAAGAAAGAGAGAGAGAGGATACATTTGTACAAGTGCTGAAGAAATTTTGATAAGTTGGATAAGAAGAATTGGAGAAAACTTTTTTATTACAATGTGCTCTTAACCCCTCCTCTACTTTCTCAATGCATTTTTAGTAAATATTTTTATTATATAATTATGTGTAGATGAGATCAAAAGCATAGACTGAGAGTATGTGTTAACTAGCTCTGCCATTATAAATCCCTTAAAATATATGTTTAAAAATAAAACATCAGAATAATACTGTAAGAGTCTTAATATGTAATAATATTCAAAAATTAAAGTGAGGAATAATGACAATATAGCAAACTGTCTAAGAAAAAAAGTCAGTAAATGATTAAGTTCACTGACTTGTTTGTTGAAAAGATAAAAATGAAAATTCATTCTAAGCAGGGAGATAAAAACATAGCTTTAACATGTGCCTCAAAATATTAAGGGTAAACACATATGGATGGATATAGAGTTATAACTTCAAAATCATTGGAGGAAGAAAAAGTAAAATGCTGTACAATTAAAATAGCAAGGCTTAATTCAACAAAACACAAGAAAATAAACAAAAAGAGATAGCATGGTGTACAAAGATTAAGTTTGTCTTTGCATAAAAGGAAACATGGAATAACAGTGAATTAAATATTTAAGAAATGCATTAAAGAGGAATAACAACAGTAGGCAGTCCAAACAGGTATGGGTGCTCCAAAATTCTCATGGATCCAGGTTCCTTCCATCTCTGGCTAGAATACTCCACGCACGTGGTTTCTTTCTTCAAAGCCACTTCATGATATAAGGTAGCTTCTAGAGTTCAAGCTTCTGGAGTTCATATCCATGCTGCAGACCAAATGAAGAAGAAAAGAGAGAAGAATGAAAAAGTATACACCTTTCAGTCAATTAAACTTCTATAAGCAGCTCTTTCTATGGGAAGGACATAGAAAGAAACACACACACACACACACACACACACACACACACACATTCCTAGAGTGCTCTGAATCATTACCTGGGGTATGACTTATGGCCAACTCTGACCCTAGTCAGGCGAGAAACAAGTAAGCAGCCCTGTGACCTCTATCAACCCTTTTTGATTCATTTTATCCTTTTCCCTTCTGACACTATTTTTTGTGTATGGCACAAAACCCTACCAACCTTCACCCACCATCCACCAAAGTAGACCTAACTGGAGTCTCTAGCCACTCCCACATCCAAGTACTGTTCACTGCATTTGTATGTGGTTTATCTAACTAGAATGTTATTACCATACACTGGGGTGGGGTGGGGGTTGGTGTTGGGGGTCCCATAACTGGAGCCATGGAAAATGATTATGCAGATTCTTGGCTTACACCAAGAGTTTTAATCTATCTGGTCAAATCCTTTCCTTACTTTTGTCTGTCCATTTGTAGTTAAAAGAATGCAAACCGTGCCTTGCTCATTTTCTTCCCCTGCTTTATCTTTCTTTAAAGGTCTTGTTTACCTATACTAACTAAACTATACTAACTAAACTTAGTCTTCCCACATAACGGGTCCTCAACTGTCCATTAAAGACACACTAAAAGGATCAGAGGAAGTCTCTTTAACTCCCAGCACTGTGGAAAAGCTGCCTTGGTAAAGGGCCATGGATCTCACTCTCTCTCCTTACTAAACTCAGGCAGCAGTCACCTCCCTTTTAGTTTACCTATACTAACTAAACTTGATGCTACACCCCCCTCATATAAAAAAAAAGCTCATTATATTATATAATTCCCTCCTGATTTTTCCCTCTGAAAAGCGTTTCCTACCTAACATATTTCTATGTAAATGCATAGAGAAATATTTGGTAAAATGTGTATCCAACTCATAATAATGGTTACCTCTGAAGAGAAGAGTAAGATTGGGAAATGGAGCAATGGTGAAAAACTTCCAACTTCTAGAACTTCCACTTCTGAACTGTCTTATTATAATGAGAATGTCTCGTGTTACATTTTTAAAAGGAAGAAAATAAAAGATTTTTTACATTCTGAATTACCCATCAATGCTTTGGAGCTAGATTTTTGTGAAAGGTTCTTTTGTTGTCAGTGTTTTCTTTTCCTTTTTTATTTCTTAACTGTACAATTCCCTTTAAGTCAGACACACACACACACACAGACTTAAGAACCTCAGTCTTATTTTAGTTGCATATTTAAAGCTAATATCTGAGGTTTGGGATCCAAGATTCCCAATCATCTATTTCTCTGATTAAATTACTATAAAGTAAGTCAAAAAGACATCCTCACTATGCCCGGCAATGTAACCAACTTACAAAGCAAGGAAAAGAAAATCAAGCTTACACAAGTTATGACAGTTCTTGGAATACCATCTCAAAACCAGAGAGAAACTGTGGAAATTACTCTGAGATGAGAATTCAACCTCTGGGGAAAATACATTTTGTGACTAGATGCTTCAGGCAGACAGCCAGATCTCCCTGAAGGTTATATGAATTCAAATGGGAAAGGTCAATAAACTTCTAGGCAGAGCTGCAGACTAAAACTTCGTTTTTCAGGCAGCTTGCGTTGAAATGCATTTCTTCATTTGAGTCATTCCCGAATGGAGAGACAGGCTGGTATCCATTTGTTCTGAAGAGTTCTAAGTCTTTGCTCTACTTTCTGCATGAGAGGATCTGCCAGATAACCAGGCTGACAGTCCAAGACTGGCCCCACTCCCACGTGCAGGCTGAGGAGACTCTTTGGTAGTGTCACCCAGTCCTCGTTCCTGTGCCTCCCCTTATCTGGCCGCTGGACACTTCGGACCCACGTCTCCCCTTCCCACCTCTCTCACTCTGAAGTTGATGGTGTTCCCCTGTTGCTCTCTCATTACTGTCCAAAGGCTGGTCAGGTGCCAAGAGGGAGGTGACTGCTGCCCGAGTTTAGTAAGGAGAGAGAGAGATCCATGGACCTTTACCAAGGCAGCTTTTCCACAGTGCTGGGAGTTAAAGAGACTTCCTCTGATTCTGTTAGTGTGTCTTTAATGGACAGTTGAGGACCTGTTATGTGGGAAGACTAAAAGGGAGAAAAGGAAAGAACCATTACAGTTCTCATGGCATAGGTAACTTTGTTGGCTTTACAGGCAAACTAGAAGCAACATTGTGAATAGGAGATGGAGTCCCTCCTGTTTTCTCTGTTTTTGTATTTTGGTTCTATTAATTAGGATGCTTTCATCTATAAGTAAGAGAAAATTCTGACTCAATTGGCTTAAAAAATAAGGAAATTAATTTTCTCTCATAATAAAAAATCCAGAGGTAAGATGGTTCTTCTATGGTTGGCTAAGTTAGTGGTTCAGTGACCTCCTCAGGAACATGAGCTCCTCCTGTCTGTCTGCTCCTGACGTCCTTAGCATGTTGGCTTTTGGCCTCACAAGTTGCTCCCTTCGTGGTCACAAGAAGGTACCATAATTCCAAAGTTTACAAAGGAACCTCAGTATCCAATGTATGGGGAGTCATTTTGTCCTGTGTGTCTCTTTAAAAACAATGAAACCTTTCCTAGAAACCCGCCTTGGCAGACTTCTCTCACATCAAGAGGCCATAATCATGTCATCTGCCCATGTCCAGCATGATCACTGGCAGGGGGAAATGAGATTACCAGAATTATCTCAGATTTGTCAGGAGTTAGCCCTGAGCTGGGGAGAGGGTCACCCTCCCTGAGGAACAAATACCTATATGAAATTGAGATTCATTTTTTAAAAAGAAGAAGATAGTGGATGTTGGGGAGGCAAACATAAGTTTCTGCTATAGTAGTTGATTGTAGGGAAATAATAATAATATTTATGAAACATGCACAATGTGCTCAGTACAGAACTGAGACAGGAAAAGGGAAGGCCTTACTTGATAAGGGGTCATAAGATAGGAACCAAAGTCTCTAATAAAACAGGAGGTGGTAAAGAAGTTGGCCAACACCAGCTAGAACCCAGATAACCATGAAAAATAACCTCAGGTTCTGCTCATTATGCCTTGCTTATAGTCTATTAGCATTCTAAATGAAACTCCACCAATGCCATGACAGTTTACAAATGCCATGGCCACTCCTGGAAGTTACCCTATATGGTTTAAAAAGAGGGGGAACCCTTGGTTCTGGGAACTCCCCACCCCTTTCCCAGAAATTTTGTGACTATTCCTCCCTCTGTTTAACATAAAATTAAATAGAATGTATAAAATAAGACCTTGGAAACTCACAAAGTGCTTCTCTCTGTTGCTCTGAGAGATAGTCACTGCCCTGTCTGTGGGTCAGCCTCCCTTTTTTTCTTTTCTTACTTTAATAAACTCGATTTTGCTTTACTTTGTCAACTTGCTCTTGAATTCTTTTTCACATGAAGCCAAGAACCCACTTGGCCTTGAGGCCGGACCCCAGTTTGGGGGTCCACTTTCCTGTATCAGAACTACCTAAGTACTTTCATAAAATATCTTAAGAATAAATGTATGAAGTATTAATATCAGCTCCAATTTATACATGAGGAAATAAGCTTAGAGAATGTAAATAACATGTCCAGCAAATAGGAAGAGGTAAAAATAGGCAGAATCTTTGCTCTTTGCTACTTCACATTATATATTCCAAAATCATAGCTCATATACTTTTTTCCCTTTGTCTGCATATTTGCTTTAAGAATGTTTCTTCTTTTGAGTTTATTGTGATGGAGGCTTGTGACGTTGCATGTTATTCTGTACGGCAAACCATAACTGATGTAAGAGCCTGGATATGTTAGCTTTTCCTGAGGGGCACCTAGTGGGGGGTGTGATAATGAAGACCTTTTCTATTGTATTTTCTTTCAAGTTCCCAATGCTCTTCCGTGTAGAACTTTTTCATTCCGCTCTCGTTTTCCCCCACCTCTTATATTTCCAACAGAAAGACCTAGAAATAGAAATCCTTACATTTTAATTATCTTCTGAGGTTCTCTCCTCTCGTCACTAGCTCCATATTATGAGCTGATGTTACTTAAATATCACAACAAAACATACCCTTTTGCAACACAGTGCTGGCCTTGTAAAACCTAGAGTCTCAGCAGAGGACGCTGCCTGAGATTTAATTGGCATCCTTCTGCTGCCAGTAGCTCCTTCCGGGCTCCCGAACAAGATGGAGCTGTAGAGGTCAGAAGGCGCTACTTCAGGAAACGGGTAATGAGGAAGTGTAAATTTCATTATGTTTGACATTTTGTTGTCTGAGCCTTACTACAGGCTATTTAAACCTAGCAATGGATTGCAAAGATAGGATTTCAGAAACACAAAATTTATTTCTTATTTAAAGATTTAATTGATTAAAGTTTTTGAGTTTGTGCTTGCCACTTACTCTTCAGACATGTTTAAGTAAGAAAGGAGATTTAAACCTTGCAAGTGATTCATCAAAACTTCTGGTCACAAATCTGATAAATAAGTGATTAACTGTTGTATTGAATTTGGAAATATCTGAATGAGTTCAGATGAATCATCAAAACATGAAGTGTTTAGGATTTTTCTGGAATCTAAAACTTTACAATTAGTTGTAGGCACATGTGTGCTCATGCATGTGGGTTCAAATTTAACATAGTGGGACAGAAAATAATATGGAAGTTCCTCAGAAAACTAAAAATAGAACTACCATATGACCCAGCAAACCCACTGCTGGGTATATCTCCAAAGGATGGGAATTCAGTATATCAAAAAGATATCTGCACTCCCATTTATTGTAGCACTAGTCACAATAGCCAACATAGGGAATCAACCTAAATGTCCATCTACAGATGAATGGATAAAGAAATTGTGGTACACATACATGATAGAATATTATATAGCCACAAAACAGAATGGAATCCTGCCATTTGCAACAACACAGATGGAACTGGAGAATATTATGTCAAGTGAAATAAGCCAAGCACAGGAAGACAAATTTCACATGTCCTTATTCATATATGGGAGCTAAATATTAAAAACAATTGCTCTCCCAAAGTCATAGAGTAAAATGATGGTTCCTAGAGGGTGGGAAGTGTCATGGGAGGGGGGCTAAAGTGAGGATAGTTAATGTGTACAAAAATATAGTTAGATATGGTCAGATAGAAGGTAGAATATATGATAGCATGACAAAGTGACTATAATCAACAATAAGTTAAGATATACTTTAAAATAACTAGAAGAGTAGAATTAGAATGCTCCTAACAAAAAGAAATGTTAAATGTCCGAGGTAATGGATACCCCAATTACCCTGATTTGGTTAATTCACTTTGTATGCCTGTATCAAAATATTACATACCCTATAAAGATATACAACTATTATTATATACTCATAATAACTAAAAATAAAAAAAAATTTAAAGATCAACATACTCGGTGAGACCAAAAATTAAGAATATTTTCTTGAAGTATGTTATTTGATGAGAAGATTGGAAACTGTCACTTAATTTTCATTTTATATTTTTTATTTTTATTTTTTTGAGAAAGAGTCTTGCTCTGTTATCCAAGCTAGAGTACAGTGGCATGATCATAGCTCACTGCAACCTCAAACTTCTGGACTCAAGCAATCCTCCCAGCCCAGCCTCCTGAGAAGCTGGTACTAGAAGCACCTGCCACCATATCCAGCTAATTTCTTCTTTTCTTTTCTTTTGTTTTTTTTTTGTTGTTGTTGTTATTGTTGTTGTTGTTGTTTTGTAGCATCGAGGTATCACTATGTTGCCCAGGCTGGTCTTAAACTCCTGGCCTTAAGCTGTTCTCCCATCTCAACCTCCCAAAATGCTAGGTCATTAAGTTATATCAAGTCTTCTGTCTCCTACAGATCAAATGCCTAATTACTTCTGAGGAAGTCTCTTATTAGATAATGGCAAAAGTTGATCTGGTACAAATTGCTCATTTTGTCATTAAGAAAGCCATTGAAAAGGCTTCCCCAAAGTCATCTTGATAATTAGTATCAAGATGGAGACAGGACACACTAGGTTTTCTACCTCTTAGGCTAAGGCACTTCCCCTTACCCACGCTACCCATTACACCCCAGCTCAGAAGGACCCTGCAGTCACCACCTAGAAATTCTTAATAACTTTATCACTGAATTTGTAAGTGAAAGCCAACGGGACAATAGAGAACACACCAGGGGCTTAGAGCCTCAGCTCACACAGTCATGCTTCCTGCTGCTTCCCCAGGAAGGCATGTCAGCAGCTTACTCCCCAATTCCCTGGTGCCCAGGGTCCTGTCCCCTTTCCCTACCCAGCCTCAATTGCTGTCACCGTTCACCCTCAGCCAGGACCTGGGCTTGACTGTTGGGTGATTCAAGGTCAGGCACATATACCCTGTGGCATGTCAAGATCCCTGTCCACACCCCAGAATAGCAACACCATGGCATGTTCAGCAGACAGTTCAGTGAGGCAAGCTTCTCACCCACCCACAAATCAGGTGCTTAGCATGTCCCAAATGGAGATAGCAATAACATTGGGAGTTGCCCATCTGTAATGGGTTGGAACAGTGGTCTCATAGAAAGAGTAAATGCCTAGCTCAACCTCTCCACCCCTGGCTAGAGCATGACATGTTAGTCCAGTGGCTGATAGGATAGAAAATTTGGCAGCAGGTGGGCCATACGTGCATGTACATGTGCTGAGCTGCAGAGCGGTGCCCCCACCCATGAGGGTCTGCACTTGCCCCTTGAATATCCCTGTGCCCAAAGGAGCATGATGTCAAATATCAAATAAAAAACACCAGCTGGGCAGTGCACAGCTATAATCCCAGCACTTTGGGAGGCCAAGTTAGGAGGATTATTTGAGACCAGGTATTTGAGGGCAGTCTGGGCAACATAGCAAGATCTCGTCTCTACAAAAAATTAGAAATATTAGCCATGCATAGTGGCACATACCTGTAGTCTTAGCTACTCGGGCTGAGGTGAGAGGATTGCTTGAGCCCAGGAGGTTGAGGCTCCAGTGAGCTAGATTGCACCGCCGCACTCTAGCCAGGTGATAGGGCAAGACCCTGTCTCAAAAAAGAAAAGAAAAGAAAAGAAAACCACCAATACAAGTAAAGAGAAAGATCATGGTAGGAAGAAAAAAAACTTTATATTTTAGTACCTTTAATAGTATGTTTCCTGCTTTTTGAACAAGTACCCACCTCCTCCATTTTTCACTTTGTACTGGGCCCAACATATTCAAGCTTATCTACAAGGCCAGGCCAAGAGACTTATCTGTTGTGGACATCTATTGCATGTGTCTCAGCACTACCTCTTTCCTCCTGGTTTTAGGTCCTTTCTTCTTTTTGTGGGACGAGAGAATAGGAGAAAGAATTGTTCATTCTCCACTCATGCTATGTGGTTCTAGAAGGGACTGATAATCACACTACGTCCCCAAACCCAGAGGGGTAAACACGCATTCTAAGCTGGGTCAAGAGACTGATCCGAGAAATGGGCAAATGATCCAAGCTGGTCCTAAGAAAAATATATTTCATAATTCCCAATTCCATCAATGATTTAGACAAGATATCTTGAAAACCCTCCCTCTACAAAACATTTAGAAATTCAAAACAAAATATGACATATCTCCTAAGAAGAATCCCTATTTTCTAAATTCAAAAAAAGTAAACACTGATGTTGTTTGGCCATGATTCTAACTTGGTCAGTCAATGAAACTCCATGCCTCTTGGATTTTGTCACCTATATTTGCCTTGATGCAGTCTTCAAGTGAGGAACTTAAGTAGTTCTAGTCTGATAAAATCAGTGAGGCATGGAACAAAAGCAAATGTAAAATCATCTTAATAAATTCCCTTTGATTGAGGTCACACAATATTTCCACAATCCAAAATGAAAGGTGGGGTGTGTGAAATACAAAGCACAAAAGAATTATCAGACTGAGGTTATAAAATAAGTAGGCTTAAAGTGATCAGAGATATAAAATAAAAACCAACATAAAAAAAGACCAAGACCTTATAAAAATGACAAATTTGAAAAATAACTAAAATCTTATAATAAATAAAAAAAATAGTCATTAACTCATTAGTTAGATTAATAAGCAATTAGACACAGGTGAAGAAAAAAACAGTGAATCAGAAGACAGATCTGAAAAGCTAATCTGGAAAAATATAGCAAGATAAAAAGATGGAAATTATGAAAGAGAGACTAACAAACATGGAGGATAAAGTCAGAAGGAACAACTTAAATCTAAAAGCAATATCAGGAAAAGATAAAGAAAATTTGGAAGCAGAAGTGTTTGAAGGGATAATAGTTGAGAATTTCTAGAATTATAGAAGACACAAAATACCAGAATCAAAAACTAGGAGCTTGAATATGATAAACAAAACCAAATTTACACCAGCAAAACTACAAAGCACCAAAGATAGAAAGATCATTAAAAATAAAGAGAATATACAACTATTATGTATCCATAAAAAAAATTTAAAAATTTTAAATTAAAAAATAAAAACAAGCAAAAAAAAACAATACCTACCAGGAAATGGCAATTAGACATACAGCTCACTTGAACAGTCACAATAGAAGCCCAAAATCTATAGAACGAGATCTTCAGAAGGGTGAAAGAAAATAATTAACAGCTTACAATTGTATAGCCAGACTGTTTTCAATTATTCGATGCAATTGTAGTTGTTGAAAGGGTAGGAGGGGAGGAGAGAGAAAAATAGGAAAAAGTGAGAAAAAGGAAAAGAAAGAAAAGGGGAAGAAAGGAAGGAGAGCCCCATCTTCTATGTTGGAGAAACTTGAAGAGGTAAGTCTGAAAGTTGCTGATGGCTGTTCTTCAACTGCGTTAAACAGACAAGCCCTGTTTGCATTTAAGTCTTTAGTTTCTTGATTCCTGAACTTGATTCCACTTCTGTCCTCACTACAGCTTAGTCAAAGGTCTCAGTAATTCCCTTTTTTGCCTAAAGAAGTTCAAATTGGTTTCCTGACCTTGGCCACTAAAAGAGATTTTGATGCACTTTATAGACCCTTATAGGCCTAGGAAATACTCACCTAGGAATAGCAAGGATGCTCACGAGGTGCCCTAGTTATCAAGTATTCTTCTCACTTGTCAGAACTTGATTTGAAGAAGGTAGAACTTTTGAGATTTGTTTGCAGCAAATCTTAAATCTTTGGATGGCTTCCCTTCACTCTCCAGCATGTTGGCACACAGCCACTTCATCTTTAAATATATAAAAATTTATGGATTGTGACCTTTTAGAGACAGAAAGCATCAGAAACCAAACCTCATCATCTATTATTCATAACAAAAACAATTGAATTATTTGTCTTAGGGAGATGGATATTTGTCTTAAATACTGACATTAAGAGTAGTGCAATTAAAGGGAAAGTAGCTTCCATCTGGTACAGATTGTGACAAACGCTGTCTTGTTCATCCAAAGGAGATAAATAGCACGTTGTGATGAAGAAAACAAAGTCTAAAGCATAAAAATGTGGAGCGTTTTTCTGAAAATGCAGAAACCATTTTCTGAAAGGTAACATGAGGCAAAAATAGCAAAGTTTTCTTCAGTGAGAGAAAAACCTTACGGCAGGTTAGCAAATTTGTCAGGTTTCCAAATCCACGCTGCTATCTATGCTGGCATTTTGCTTCCGGACCCCTCAGGTTCCATATGGCTTAGATGAGATCCTTTGCTTTGCCATAGACCATGTGAAGGAGTGTCTGGGGTAATCCCACCCAGGGACTCTGCAGAGCCTCAGGTTCTCATCTCATTTAAGTTCCTGCAGGATAAGCTTAATGAAGTTGCATTTATCATTCTTCTAAGAAAGCACAGAGCTGCAGCTCTCCAATGCTCAGCACAAGACCATGCTGCTTACACCACCTGCACTTTCAGTTCTTTTTTCTTAAGTGTGGGTGTTTTTCCCCATTACCTTCAAATTGAGAAGATTTCTAGTATTTAAGGGGGAAAAAAATCACTTCTACCATAGCTCATCTATCATAGCTTCAGGCACTGTACATTTTTCTTCCAAACAAATGGAACTGTTAACATTTTAAATGTTATGAAAATATGAGGAAAGTTCAGATTTCCTTCCTGAAATTTCCAAAAGCCCCTATTGCAGATGATTATAAGTGAGCACATTCTTTTTGTTCAGTCTATCAATGCCCATCCACAATGCCCTGGTGGTTTAGGACCAAGAAGATCCCAGTCAGTGCTTGTTTAGAAAACAAACTAAAGCTTTTGATATATTCAATCTAAAATAACTGCTTATTCACTGACATTGGTCAGTAAATCCTTCTTGTTGACTAAAGAAAATTCTATCTTTTTGGGATACAGTAGTATTTTTATAATATTTCCTCCCAAGAGGAAGCATGTTCCACCTAGGTCATTCATAGTACAGGTGCAGTGTATGCACTTGTTTTTTGGGGTGGGGCCATCTTCAATATTTACTTGAGCATTGGCTAATAATGAAATGTTGGGCATTAGCCAATATTTCATGCTCAAAGAAAATGCAATCAAGAGAATACATGTTCCCTGTTCCTCAGTACACATAATTTGCATCAATTGTCAAAGAATTACACGAATGAAGATTATACGGTACAGTACTATATTGTACCTGAGAGCTCCAGAGATAAGCAGTATTTTGACGTAAACAGCAGCCTTCCATATTATGCAACCAGGCTCCAGGATCCTAGATCTTCCAGGTCTAGCCAGCACTAGACCTTAGGAGGAAGTTTGTAGAAATATTGACATGGTAAATGATGATTCTAGCCTGACTTCTACTTAATATCCAGGTTAGATTAAAGTGACTACATCAGTCAACAAATATTTATTAAGCATTTACAGGAAAGTGTATTGTCCTCAACTCTTTTAGCTGGAAATTTGACACATCATAGAAGGCTCTTTTTGGTTATCAAAAGTTAGATAGACTGGAGAATGAACTGATAAAAACAGTACACACATTCCCAGAACATCCAAGAAAGTACTTATGTCTCCAGAAGACACAAAAATGGCCCTGGGATTTTATTCTAAAGAACTCTAGAATTCTCTGGCCTACTACCTGGTGCAATGTGCCTAACAAATTTCAGAAGTCTTCTTTAAACTGCTCAGTTCTAACTCCAGTCTGGGAGGGCAGAGGCCACATGGTACATCACCTTCAACCCTTCCAAAGGTTCTGAGTTCCAGAATCATCACTCAATAGGGCACAATAGTGAAGTAAGCAAAGATATCTTTCACATTGTCTCCTACTCACTAACATCCTTCCAGTCCTGTTCTACCTCTTACTTCTTTTGCATTCCATCCCCTCTTGTTAGAGAACTAACTATATCTCTCCGTAATGAACTAGCCATCTCTGCTAGTCTGTCCATTTTGATTGTGAACATCCATAAAAAGTCTTGGTAAGATTTCTGGTATTATTTCTGGAGGTATAAAATAATGAAAGAAAAAGGGACACAAATTTGGAGTCAGAGAAACCTGAATTCATGTTAAATTCCTGCACTCTGTATTTGAATGGTCTTAGGCAAGAAGCCTAACTTGTCTGAGTCTTTCTTTTTTCCATAAAATAAAAAATAATATCGATCTATCTCATTTCAGACAATTTATGCAAGAGGGTTTTTTTAAACATTTTATTTCGAGATCATTACACATGTAAGATGTAATACAGAGGGATTCCACATAGCCTTTACCTAATTTTCCCCCAATGGTAATATCTTGAGTAACTATAGAACAATAGCACAACCAGGAAATTGGCATTAATACAATTTACCAACCTTATTCAAATTTCATCCATTTTTTATGCATGTGTGTGTGAATTTATATGTGTATTTAATTCTATGCAATTTTATCCCACATGTAATTTTTGTGACTACCACCACAGTCAAAATACAGAACAATTCCATTACAAAGGCCCTTCATGCTACTGTTTTATAGTCACAGCTATCTACTTCCCACTTCTTTCCTGCCATCCATGATTCTTTTCATCTATTTTACAATATGTAATCATTTGAGTTTGACTTATTTCATTTAGCACAATTCTCTTGAGATCTATCCAACTTGTTGCATGTATCAATAATTTCTTTTTATTGCTAAATAGTATTTCATAGTATGGATGTACTACTGGTTATTTAACTACTTGCTTATTGGAAGACATTTGAGGGCTGTTTCCAGTGTTTGGCTATTATGAATAAAGTCAAACATTCATGTGCAGGTATTTGTAAGAATGCTAGTTCTTGTTTCTCTGGGATAAATGTCCAGAAATACAATTGTTGGGTCATATGTTAAGCATATCTTTAGTTTTAAAAGAATCTGCCATACTCTTTCCAGAAATGATCATTTTACATTCCCACCTACAATGTATGAGTGTTTAAGTTTCTCCATGTCTTCATCAGAATTTGGTGTTATGACTATTTTTTTATTTTAGCCATCCTGTTAAGTATGTAATATTTCATTGTGGTTTTAATTTGCATTTTTCTAAAGAAAAGGATAATGAACAACTTTTTAACGTACTTATTTGCCATTTGTATATTCTCTACGGTGAAATGTCTCTTCATGGCTTTTGCCCATTTCTGATTGGTTTATTTGAGTGTTTTACTGTTGAGTTTTGAAGATCTTTTATATATTCTAGATATTAGCCTTTTGTTAAATATGTGGTTTGAAAATATTTTTGCCCAGTCGGTAGCTTATCTTTTTATCATCTTCACTGGGTCTTTCGCAGAACAAAAGCTTTGAATTCTAATGAGGACTAATTTGTCAATTTTCGTTTTATGGATTTTGCTTTTGTGTTAAGGCTAAAACTTTTTTCCTGGCTCTAAATCCTGAAGATTTTCTCCTGTGTTGTAAGAATATCTTTTCAGACAAAAAAGAACTGCCCAAGTGTAAGTTATCACAGCTTCTGAACTGCTTCTTTTAGTCAATGTTTTATCTTTCTTAGAAGCTCTCTGAAGTCACACTTAATTTTTTAAGAAAACTCTAGTTCCACTCTGGTCTAGGGTCTTGGAAAAGCCAGAAGAAAATGGCCTATGTTCTGAAGAAACAAACTGTGAAAGAATGTGCTAGTTTTTTTTTTTTTTTTTTTTTTTGACAGAGTCTCACTCTGTTGCCTGGGCTGGAGTGCCATGGCATCAGCCTAACTTACAGCAACCTCAAACTAGTGTTAAGCTGGAACATGTATAGAAAACATTTTCTCTATATAAAGTCAGTAAGATTTTGTGATCAGTGGGATATATGTTGGGTAGTCAAAAGAAAAAAAATGCAGGGTGGTTCCCAGGTTTATGGTCTCGGACAGGGCAACTGATGTGCTATCATCTTTATACCTTGTCCATGGCTTTATCCTAGGTTTTCTTAGTGTTAATGTAACCACCTACAGCCATCATACAGACAAGAGAAATGAGTCTGGTGGCAAGAGTCTGGTGGTTTTGTTCAGTGGCATGGACACATTTGGCCAAGGTGGGGAGATATTAGAAGAAAGAATGGAAGAAGATGGAGATGTTGGTACTTGTGTAGCCTCCAGGTAGAGATGCCCAACAGATAGTTGAAAAAAAAAATCTGAGCTTAATTTAAAAGCTTAGCCTGAAAATAAATATTCATGAGCAAGTAGTCACCCATCTTGGTGACATAAATTACAATGTTCTAGCATACCCTCTATCTACATATGCAAGCAGCTGGAAATTTCAGATCTTTTCCAATCCTTGGGACATGATCACTCCCTTGGTTTTAAAAAATTTATTTTTAATTCAACTACGGTTTCTCTTTGTCCTATTACAGCTGCCCTTTAGAAATGTAAAGGTCGCATCTAAATATACATACTGAAATTCATTAAGAAAATTTCTATTTACGAGTCGTGCTTTTCTGGACTTTATTTAATACACTGCAACCTGTAGAGTCCCTTCTATTTAGATGGCACTCTTCAATTTGCAGAACACTTTCCTACACATCAAGTCATCTGATTCTTACAAAAGCTCTTCCAAATGAAGAAACTCAGGCTCAAATTGCTGAGATGACTTGACCAAACTGACCCAGCTAGTAAGTGGAAGATCTGGGGCTTAACCTCACTTCTCCTGACTCCTCAGCCAACACACTTTACCAAGTAGTACCTGGGTGAAGCCAGCTGCCATCCTGTCACACCACATCAGTCTCCCAAAATCAAACTTGGCGGACTCTGTTTCAGTATTCTGAAAGGCTGGTGAAACTCTACCCAAATGATTAGGGAAAATGGAAAGTCCCTAGAATCTAGTTGAACATTAAGTATAAGAGTGGACTAAGCTACTGGCTCATGCCCCCCCCCCAAGAAAACAGCATGGCACTAAGAAATCTTTTATTCCTTCATGATTTAATTTGTACATTTTGATCAGTATTTTGTATCACATACAAAGGAAAAGCAATGCCTAAGACAGGTCTTTTAACTGCCAAGCATATTCATTTTCATTCATTTAGTCTCTTTGCTAAAGGTCAGAGTTAATCAAAGAATGTGGTATCCATGATCACACTGAAATGATTGAAGTCCTCAGAATTAATGCGGCTACGAACTCTAAGCTGAAAAGCCTCCACTTGTTCTACAGGAACAAAAAAAAAGTATGAGTCAATTGACACTGTATACAGCCTCAATTGTTTTTTGTGAAAAACAATTTATTATTCTCTCTTGTCTGTGGTAGCTGTCATCTGCCTGGGGACTTGATGAATAGAGTACATGAAAGTGTGGACATCAATAAATTAGCCAGTGATTCAGACCTACAGTAAGGTCAGAGCTCGTTTTTCATGCCTGGTTGAAAATCTGAAGTGTCAACAATGTAGGATACCCTAAGCAGACTTGCAGTCCATAGCACAAATTACATTTTTAATCAATAATTTAATATGAATTTTATTATTCAATAATGAAAGTATTCAAAACTCAAACCCTAGGTGTTTCTTAAGTTTTCAAGCTCCTTACAAGCCTTATGATATTACAAAGTTTAAAAATAAAGTTAAAAATAATTTTAAGATGTTTTTGATTAATGATTGACCATAATTACAAATTAATTTAATTAGATTCTTTAGATATTTTAACCTGCATTTATAAATTAAACATATTTGATTACCTACACATATTTCCATTCATATCCTATAGGCCATGCTCAAAGCAAGGAGACCAGGGAAATACATGTATAGTCTCTACATGGGTGGTTCTGTATCCAACTAAAACATGAGTAGATTTTATTTTCAAAAGGAAAAAAGAGAAGATTGGGCACTAAGGGGAATTAGTAGTCTGCTACATGCATATTTCTTCTGATGAATTAGGCCAATAGCTGATCTTTCCCAACCTTGTATTTTCTCAGCAGCTCCTTGGGGTCCAGTGCCTCTTTTGCAATTACTATGGGAGCCTGGAGCACATAAATATTCCACATATACTCAGGGTATGGCCCTGGCCTCAGTACAAGTGTTCTAAGCGATTGCCTCTTTCTGGTTGAATTGTTACGTAGAGATTAGAGCTTATATAAAACCACTGCTAAGGGATACAATTCTGCCAGGTGTACCAGCTCAGTGTAATAGACTATGTCCATAACAATTATTTTCAGAGCTATGTCTATACAGGGTCTTGAATGTGGAAGATTTTCAAATTTGGCCTTCTGTAATCCTCTGTATTCAGAACCTTGGTTTGGAGGAGCTAAAGAGATAGGAATTAGAAAAATTAACATGAAGTCAAAATTCATCATTTAAAAAACAAAACTCTGCATGAAAGCATTTTTTATGAAGGCTTTTTTCTGCCTACTTGGGCTACAGAAGGAAAGTTTTTACAGACAATGGTTGAGTTTGGTTTGTAGCTATATACATTTAAAAACAAATCAGATTTGAACCAAAACAATCAGCTTATTTTCTTAAAGGTCTTTGATATTTCCCAAAAGATCACATTTCCAAACTACTGTTTAGCTTGGGGGATTTTTTTCCCCATCAACTTTGCTTGACATTTGAAAAACCTATTTCCTTTTAATAAATCTTCAGTCTTCCCTATATCAATAACCTCAGCTCAAATGTAGGAAGGAAAAGCAAGGCTGATTGAGAAAGATAAGATGGAATGACAAAAGGTAAAAGGTAATAGAAAAACCAAGTTTCCTCTCCTTTATTATAAATAAATCTTTGTTTTCAAAATACACTCCACTCACACGACTTTCCATTATCC